GCATATAGAGATTCTCACTGTCTTATCTTCCAAACTTTTCTATGTATTCTAAATTTAAAAGAACAAAAAATTATTTGCTCAAAGTGAGAGAAAAAATTTTTGTGGTCTAAATACTATTTCCCATAGAAAGAATGCAAGCACCTTCAAATCACTGATTGTAGGTCTGTGGTATAAAATGCACAAGATGAATCTGGGACATTTTATTATACTAGAAAACAAAGAAGTTATTTAAAACATTAGGTCTGTTCAGAATGATACCAGAAAATGTCTAAAATGATAGCCAAGTAGCCCAAAATGAGACAAGTTGAACAACAAAAGGTACTACTACTAAAGAGTCGGCCTGATAGCTCAGCAGACTAAAGCACCTGCTTAGGCAGAGCCCAGAGGCCAGGGTTCGATCCTCTGGGTGCCATGCTGGTCCTGCCCATGGGCCACACTAAGAGGGCGATTGAGACTGGGTGTGGTGATATGCGCCTATAATCCCCGCACTTGTGAGGCTGAAAACAGGAGAATCACTGAGTCTGATCTAGAGTCCAATGTACATAGTGAGACCCTGTAGACCCTGTCCTAATTACAGAAAAAAAAACTACTACTATGAATTTAAACATTAAATATGTAACAAAATTTATTCATGACACTTTAAAAATCTTAATGATCTCCTTTACAGGATGTTAAGGAAACAACACATTATTATTCTGAAAATTGAGAGATGTAAATAATTTATTGGTTCAAAAAGGAAAGCCAGAGGGCTGGTGAGATGGCTCAGTGGTCTAAAGCACCTACCTAGAACAAGCTTAGCAAAGCACAAGGACTGCGGTTCAATCCCCCAGCACCACATGCCAGCCAGCCCCGCCTCCTGGTGGGCTGAGCTGGCCACACACACATACACACAAATAAATAAATAAATAAAATTTTAAAATTTTTTTAAAACAAAAGGAAAGCCAGGTGAAATCTAGAGAAATGCTATTATGCATTTCATTCATAAAATTTTATTAAATCCTGATTTTTAAAAAATCAAAAAGGGGGGCCAGGAAGATAGCTCAGTGGAATAAACGCTTCCCTGGCAAGTACAAGGTCCTGAATTTGATCCCTGGTACTACCAAAAAAAAAAAAAAAAAAATCAAAACCTAGAGAGAACAAAAGAAAACTTGGCTGACAAGGTAAGTGGTATCAGAAATCAACAGCAAATATCCTATTAATTATGAAACAATCAGAAAGTTAATCTATAAAATGTACATTGCTTTGCCATTGAACATTATTCCAAAGATTATTTCAACAAAGCAGTAAGTTAAAAAGTGAAATTTGGGGCTGGTGAGATGGCTCAGTGGTCTAAAGCACCTACTTAGAACAAATAAGCTTAGCAAAGCACAGGGACCACGGTTCAATCCCCCAGTACCACATGCCAGCCAGCCCCGCCCCCTGGTGGGCTGAGCTGGCCACACACACACACACACACACACACACTAAATAAAATTTTTTTTAAAAGTGAAATTTACTGTTTACAAACAACAAGACTCTACAATGGAAGTACAGACAATCCACTGAAGAATTAGAACAGTATTAAACCAACAAAAATTTGTTAAATTTTTTATACATCAAACAGATGTTCAAATGCCATGGAAAAAAGAATTTAGAAAAAACCCTAAGTAGCATAAACACACATAATAATCGTGTACAAATTATCAAAACAGGCTACCAGTTAAAAGTACTACTGAAAAGATGTTAACTCTTCCAAGGTACAAGAAAAATAAAATTCCAGTAAATGAGTAGATAAAGAATTTAACAGACCCAAATTAAGAATACCTAAATAAAATACACAGTATGACAGCAGTGATGGATAAATAAAAACAGAATAAAGAGGTAGAAGATTTTTAAAGGAGAAGGCCTCACTGAGAAGGTAATCAAGTAACTACAGGAATAGGAAAGCACTCCAAAGCACTGGAAACAGCAGATGCAAAGTCCCCAGGAAGAAAGCAGGCCTACCACACTAAAAGCAAAGCACAAAGTCTTCATTGCTGAACTAGAGTAAGTAGAGGAGGGCCAAGGAGATGGCTCAGTGGAATAAGCACTTCCCTGGCAAGCACAAGGGCCTGAGTTCAATCCCTAGTTCCGCCAAAAAAAAAAGAATGAAAGTAGAGGAATAAATATTAAAGTATCAAAATGACAGAGATGACAGTTGTAATGGCACATACCTATAATCCACTCAAAGCAGGAGAATCTCAGAATGTTTGAGGCCAGCCAGGGCTACTTACACAGTGAGTTCAAGGTCAGTCTTGACTACACAGAGACCCTATCTCAAAATAAGCCCGGGGGGCGGGGGCGGGGGGAAGCCCAACAAAATACAAACTTTCTGGGGCCAGGTAGATGGTTCAGTGGAATAAGCGCTTCCCTGGCAAGCGCACAGGCCTGAGTTCAATCCCCAGTTCCACCAAAAAAACAAACAAACAAAAAAAAAGCCGAACAAAATAAGCCCAGAATGACAGGGCTAGAGGTATAGCTCAATGGTCAAGCTTGCCTTACAAGTGTAAAGCTATGGATTTGATCATTACCACCAAAAGAAAAAGAAAATTGACAAACCTAAAAAGGGAATTACCCTAAACAAACATCTAAAAAAAAAAATCAAATTTGTGAGGTTATGAAGAGACTGAAAATGACAAGCAACAATTACACATAAATTGGCAGAGTGGTAAGCAGTTTGTTCAAGAAAGATGTCAAGATGACATGAAAATTCTGTAAGAAATAAAAACACATAGTTGAATAGTTAGTAATGTTTGGAAAAACAAAACACAGAGAATGGGAAAAAATTTAAAAATGAGCAAGAAAACAGATAAAGCAGATTAGCATAAGATAAAATGATGGGGTAAAATTACTGTAAATATATTAATAACCCTAGCAAAAGATGAAACTTTCCATTAAAGAACAAGATTAGAGGATATTACTACAGAAACTTCATACAAAAAAGATAATACAGGAACACAAACAGTTCTACATTTATAAACTTGGCAACTCAGATGAAATAGACCAATTCCCTGAAAAACTATGTACCAGAACTCATTCAGTAGAAAACAATTTATACTTCTAGCCAGGCAAGGTGAAATATAGCTATAATCCAATTACTCAGGAAGCAGAGACAAAAGGATCATTAATTTAAGGCCAGCCTGGGACACTCAGAGACCCTGAGTCAAAAACAAAATATAAAAGGATAAGGAAATAGTTCAATGATAAGAGTGATTTTCAAGCACATGCAAAAGACTCTGGGTTCCATGCTAAGTACTACAAAAAAGAAAAAGGAAGAAGAAAAAAAACACTTCTACCTTCTAACTAAGAAACAACTCCATTTTTAAATTCATAATTTAAAAACTACAATCGATGTATTAAAACACTTAGACAAACTATATACCTAGTCAGTTAAAAAAAAAAAAAAAAAAAAAAAAAAAAAACCCTTAGAAAAGAAGCCTAGAACTTCAACTTATGGGGCTGGGGAGATAGCTCAGTAGAATAAGCAATTGCCTGGCAAGCATAAGGTCCTGAGTTCAATTCTCGATACCACAAAAAAATAAATAAATAAAAAACCTTCAACTTATTAAATACCATCTACAGAAAAGCTAATGCTTGCATTATACTTAATGGTGAAATGAATGCTTTCCCCTACATCTGGAATGAGACCTACGCTTACCACTCATTCAACATGATTCCAGCTAGCAGAAATAGACAAGAAAAAGAAACACAAGAACAGGTTATTAAATGGAAAAAAAAACCTATCTACAGATGATTTTCTATACAAAAAATTCCAATGAATTTGCAAAGTAACTTTTACAACTATCATATCATCTTTATAAACAGTGAACATATGTGTAAACAAGTCAGAAACAGTTCCACCTAAAATCACCCCAAGGAAAATTAAAATAGTGTACCTAGGTAAAAAATACGCTAAAAACCAAATACAAGATTGGTATGTTCAGTACTGCAAAGGACTAAAGAAAGACACTACAATCTAAACAAATGAATCATTAATGGATTGCAAGATGTAAGATAGTAAAGATGCTAATTTCCCCCAAATTTATACACTTCATATGTTTAACACAATATCCAAATCTCAGGAAGACATCTGGTAGATACACATTATTTTCTTAAATTTACACAGAAAAGCAAAAAGGTAGAAAAGATAAATTAACTTGAAAAGAACAGAAGGGCAGGGATATACATAAAAAAGAACTGTTTACCAAGCCTAAGGCCTTCGGTATGTGATATTTAATATCACTTGCCGTTAAGGAAAGACAAGTATAAGTCCCCAGCACACACAAACACAAGTACAAACAAAAAATAAAAATAAAAACCACACAGTGGGAGGTGAATCAGTGTATTCCATTTCACAACTTAGCCACTATTTTGTATTAGCGGAAGGACAGATACATAGCTCTGTGGAACATAGACATATACAAATATGTCCAAATAATTAAATATAAAAAGATTATGACAGCCTTTCAACAAAAGGTGCTGAAGCAATCAAATATCCACAAATTCAAAAATATGGATACATATACATACACTCCTCTAAGTACTACACCTGGTACCAAATCTATCACAGATAAAATGCAAAACTGTAAAACTTTTTAAAAAAAAGAAAAAGAAAAGAAAAATCTTTGGGATTTAGACACAGGCAGACGCTTCTTAAATATTACACTAAAAAATTCATCAGAGAGAAAAGAACATTGGATTTTATCAAAACAAAACTTGGGGCCAGCTAAAGACTCCTATAGAAGAATAAAAAGGCTCAGAGAAAATATTTGCAAGCTACAAACCTGACAAAAGACTAGAATTACCAAAGTTCAACATGAAAAATAAAAACAATCTAATTACAAACTGGACAAACACATGCAGAGATACTTCATCACTGGGGATACACAGATGGCAAATAAGCACATCAAAATATGTTTAACATCACTAGCGATGAAGGAGACACAAATTAAAACCTCACTGTTATATCACCAGATACCTACCAGAATGGCTAAAATGAAAAACAGTGATAACGCCAAATGGTGGCTAAGATGCAGAGAAACTGGATCACTCCATATACTGCTGGTAAGGATGTAAAATGGAACAGCAACTCTGGAAAAGAGTTTAGCAAGTTCTTTAAAAGCTACACATACAATAATCATAAGACCCAGTAATTGAATTTCTGAGCATTTATCCCAGAAAACTGAAACATTTATGTTAACAGAATCTTGTACGTAAATCTTAATAAAACTTTTATTTGTAACAGCCAAAAAATTATAAACTCTAGTTGTCCTTTAACAAATGAATGTCCTTTACTAAACTATAGTAAGTTCATACCTCAGAATACTACTCAGCACTAAACACATAACAGTTTAATTTCCAGAGCATTATGCTGAATGAAAAAAGCAGAACCCAAAAGTCTATATACTATGACTCGATTTATATAACATTCCTCAAAAGACAAAAATCACAGAAAAGGAGAACAGGTTGGTGGGTCTCAGAGATTAGGAGATGGGGGATAGTGGACGGGATAAAACTGTATTGCATACAAAATAATACGAAGGAATCCTTGTGATAAAAAACGGTATGTACATTAATTATCAGAAATGTCAATTTCAGTAGGCTGGCCAGATAGCTCAGCAGACTAAAGTGCCTGCTTAGGCAGAGCACAGTGGCCAGGATTCAATCCCTGTGGCATGCTGGCCCCACCCCAAGGGTGTGCTGAGACTGTGATTGAGACTAGGTGTGGTGGTGTGAGCCTGTAATCCCAGCGCATGGGAGTCTAAAAACAGGAGAATCACTACAAGTCCAATCTGTGTAGTGACACCCTGTACTAAATATTTTTTTTTTTAAGTTAGTGAGAAATGTCAATTTCATGTTTGTGATACTGTGCTACGGTTTTGCAATACTTTACCAATAAGGAAAATTGCATAAACAGTACATGGGATGGCTGTATTTTTCTTACAACTTACATAGGAACTGATAATTCATCAAACGTGTATAGTAATTTAAAATTACAGGGGCCGGGGAGATGGCTCAGTGGAATAAGTGCTTCCCTGGCAAGCATAAGGGCCTGAGTTCAATCCCCGGTTCTGCCAAAAAAATAAAAAATAAAAAAAATAAAATTACAAAGACCAGCCACTACAGTAGTGCACAAACTGTAATCCCAGTACCCTTAAGAAGCTGAGACAGGATGACTTCAAATTTGAGCCTAGCCTGGGCAACACAGTGACTTATTGATCCCCTACCTCAAAAGGAAATTTAAAAAATACAAAGGATATAACTCAGTGCAAAGGCCCTGGATTCTATCCTCAGAGCTGCAAATATTAATGAAGATTACAAAAACCAAGACCATCATGCCAGATTTAAATTTTTAAAATTTCTATAGCATGTTATTCACAAGAGATAAAAAGAACACAAACATGCACGTGCTTGCAGGTGGGGGTAACCAAAAAAAAAAAAAAAAAAAACAACTGGCAAAATTACCTAAAAGAAAAAAATAATCTAGACACCTTAAGATCAAGCAGTAGTTTTTTGGTTTTTTTTTTTTTTTTTTTTTTTTGCAGAACTGGGGATTGAACTCAGGCCCTTGTGTTTACTGAGCTATCTCCCTGGCCTCTAAGCAGTAGTATTTACTACAAAAAGGATTCTTAGATATAAATTCTCTACAAAGTTCCAATTCAGCAGGAAAATTGAGTGAAACTTTCATGTACTAATTTTTAAATAATAGTTTAAGGGCCAGGGAGATAACTCAGCACCATAAGCACTTGCCTGGCAAAGTTCTGAGTTTGATCCTCAGTACTACAAAAAATAAAATAAAAATAAATAATATAGTTTAAAACACTGATAGAACTACAAGAAAAAAAAATCTAGTAAAAAATGAAACATTCTCCTGCTCATCAAAGAAAATACAGACATAAGGTTTGAACAATATAACAAGCCTAATTCCTGGACAAATGCAGTAATTTTTGTACCAACTGGAATATATACATTCTCATTACATACAACAAAAATTTACACAAACTAATGAGATAGTCTCAATGAATTCTGAAGAACTGATTCATGTAAACTGTTTCTTAACTACAATGCAATTATAAATCAGTAAGTGACCAAATTAACCTGAGAATCTCCCATAAGTTTGAAAGATTTTTAAATAACTCATAAAGAATTCAGTGGGAAATAAAAAAATACAAGGGAAAATAATAAAAATAATACATATCAAAGTTTGTGTAATACAGAAAACACAAAGATAATAATGGTCTTAAATGCCTATGCTGAAAATTAATGACAAGCTCTCAACTTAAATAAGAAAAATGAACAGAAAAAAATGAAAATGTAAGACATAAAGAACAGAAATTAAGAAAATGGAAAAATGATACATTAAAAGGATATAAACAAAATTTTAAAACTTAATTATCAAAGCCTGCCTGGCAAGTGTATCCTGAGTTTGAGTCCCAATACAAAAAAATAAATTATCTGAAGTCTTTTAAACCTCACATACATTTAGCTTAAAATAACGACAAAAGAAAGCTCCTTCAAAACTAGATAAAAGGGCTATTATTTACAAGTATAAAAGAGGTCAAATTAATGCTATAAATACTATAATCTGATTTTAAAATTGTGAAGTATAAATAGTCCTATAATCTGAACAACTGGATCAATGAGTAAGAGGCATCCTTCAAAACAAGTGTCGGTAACAGTTTTGGAGACAAGTTCTATCGCACAATGAATAGATCATGTGGGCTGAGGATGTATATCCTCACAAGTATACCTGCTTAGCATGCATGGCAGCCAGAGTTCAATCTATGAATGGTGGAGTTATTCTAATGTCACACTTATTTTTCAGAGTTTTTTTTTTAAAAATTAGAAGCCAATATTATTATTAGAGACAAAAATCCTAAATAAAGTATCTTTGAATTGAGTCTAATGTGAAAAAAGTGACAAAGTAGAGTTGGATGTATAATTATAATACAAGGTTGGTAAGAGAAAAATCAACCAATGTAATTTTCTATGTTCATAAATTACAGAATTACATGATCTCACAAAATGAAGGAAAAACTTTTGATGAAATGTATTATCTATTCATGACTTTTTTAAAAATTGAAGAAACTAAGTAATATCCTTAATCTGAACATTTTCTACAATAAATCTACAGGAAGCAGCATACTTAACCAAAACTTTGAAAGCATTCCTTTTAAAATCAGGAACAAGGTCAGTACATCCCCATCACAGCTTCTAGTCAGCACTGCACAAGGGATCCTAACCAGCACATTAAGACAAGAAAGGAAGGAAGGAAGGAGTATAAGAATCAGGAAAGAGAAAAGAAAAAAGTCATTATTCATAGAAGACAGTCTGCACAGAGAAATTAAAAAGAAATCCATAGATAATTTATCATAATCAGGAGTGTAACAAGGTTGTTATACAAAAACTATGAATACAGTAAGGTAAAAAAATTATTAAAACATTTAAGATCTACTGTAAAGTGCCTAGAAAAAAATATTTCCAACAGGTTAAATGATTAGGCAATTTTGTTGAAAACTATCTTAAAAGACCTAATAAAGAAAATGCAATAATCATGGTTAAAAAAATAAAATGTAATTCTTGCCAAACTAATTTACAGATCATGTACATTTCCTACCAAAACGTCAGTATCACATGTACTGGAATATACTCGAGACAGATGGATGGACAGACAGATGGTCAGATGAGATTTGAAAAGATGCTTCTAAAATTATATGGAGGAGCAAACAGCCAAAACGTTCCCTGTAGAACAACTACACAATTTAGTACACCATTTCCAATCAGCCCTCCCTGTGAGAATTTAACAACTGAAGTATCTAAAGACATAAAGCACTATGAAGGCAACAAAGACCTGAGAGGGGAAGAGTGGAAAGAATAGACACTTAGAAAGTCAAAGTCTCTTGATACCTTTTTTTCCCTAACGATATTTGCTAATATGCAAAATACAATGGAGATTTTGAGAAGCCAACAAGAAATTTTAATGGTCTCGTGGGAAAGAGGAAACAGGATATTTGCAAAATATAACCTGCCAGATTTGGTATCCATGATAAACTTCTACAAAGTAGTGTGAAAAAAGACAAGATGGCCCAAAATAACAAGTCAAAACCTTTATATGCCACTTTATCAAAGATAATCAAAACTGGCAGTAAAAGTGCTTAAAATCATTCCTCATTCGAGGAATGCAAACTAAAACCACTACACGAGGGTCAGGGAGATAGCTCAGTGTGGTATGCGCCTGCTTAGCCAAGCACAGGAACTGGGTTCGATCTCCGACACCACATGCCACATGTCCCGCCAGGGCACACCGAGACAGCCACCAAGACAGAATCCCAGCATTTGGAAGGCTGAAAATAGGAGGGTCACTACAAGTCCAAACTTCATAGTAAGACCTTGTACCAAATACATTTAAAAAAGAAAAAAAGCTACACATATGCACTAGTGTCTAAAACTAAACGGATAGACAAGAATATGGAGTAACTGGAATACACTAGTGAAAAAGAATGAATAAGCTATACCACAGTCCCTAAGTAGTGATAGTTCCATTTAAAACTTTTCTAACTTTCCAATAGTGATGAAAAGTATTTGGTATAAACTGTACTTAAAATTTTTACTTTTTTTTTAAGGCTAACAAAATTCAGTAAGATTAGTGATGCTAGAAAGAACCAAAGCTCCCAATCAGTCACTTGCTTCTGAAGGTGAAATAACATTCTACAGTGTTGCTATAAAGTATGATGTTTTGTACATTAGGTTTACTGAATACTGCATGTGTCTATGGTATGCAGATTGAACCCAAAGAACACTGAGCTACTGTATATCCCTATCACACCCTTTAATTTGTTCTTCATAGTACTGGTGATCAAATCCACATGTGCTCTACAATGGAAATACATATCCAGCACATATCCAGCTTTTTGTTTTGGAGACAGGTCTTTCTAAACTGCTCAGCCAGCCTTGAATTTGCAATCTTCCTGCTCACTCTCTTAAGCAACTGTGATTACAGGTATGTGCCACTATGCCCAAAGTGTATTTTGAATTGTTTTTTTTTTTTTTTTTTTTTTAATTATTTATT